AACTTTTATTTACGTATGCATACAAGAGCTAGGGTGTAGGCCAGAGGTGTGGAGGGGTGAGAGGATTCACCAGAGAATAGAGTTGGGGGGCAGAACAGGCAGAATCGTCGAAGTACACTGCTGAGGGGAGCAGAAGGCTGGTCAGGAGAGGTCTGCTTCACCATGTGGGTTAGCTCTGGCTGGGGAGAGAACTCAGTCTGCAGTGGCTGCCAATATCTTGATAGTGCTGAGACTTAACCCCTTATGTGAAAGGGAGGCCCCCTCTTGCAGGACTGCATGTGGGGCATCCAGAGGGAAAAAGAACAGGATTCTTTTCAAGGGCTCTGGCATCTTATGGGAAATGGCTAGCCTCCTAAGAAAGTACTCAGGCTATTAACACTAGGAGGATGGCTCCTCCCAGTGATGGGCTCCTGCCATTTACTGCATAACCAACTGGAATAGGTACAGAGCCCATTTATTTCTAGACAAGGGAAGATTCAGAGAGGGGGCAGAAGAGCACAACTGTAGATGAAGAGCAAAAATACAATTAGAAGACGAATGTTATTCCCATTCTCTTGAAACAGCTGGGCAGGAACACATGTTTATAAATCTGTCTTCTTCCTCTGGTATAATCTGCAAACCTTAGCAATAATGAATGAACTGAAAAGTTGACAGTGTGACAATGTTGGAAATGGGAGAGGAGAGGAAAAACTCTAATATGGAAAAACAAAATGGAGGCTTGTTTAAATGTTAAAGCAAACAAATTTTTCTGAGGTGTAACTCTCTTCCTACGAGGCTCTGAGCTGAGACAGCTGGGGAAATAAGAGGAAAAGAAGGAAAATGCAGAAAATAACACTCAACAAACTCTACTAGGGGGCTAGCTTTAGGCCAGCAAATAGGCTAAAGAGAAAGAAAAATTGATTTTCAGTTTAGAAAGCTTCCTATTTGTAATGCTTTAGCCTTCCAAGTGTTCAGATAAAAGTCCTTGGGAGTTTTGTGTGTTTGCCCTCTTATAATGTCCCACATCTCACAGCAAACATTGTTGATTCAACCTTCAGGTTTTGACCATCTCTCACTTCCACTTTTCTGGCCCCAAGCACTCCTTGAATTATTACAACAGCCTTCTAACTTACTCCCATCCTTATTCTTCTCTGACCTATTATTAATATAAGAGCCAGAGAGATCCTACAGGATATAAAAGTTATATCCTATTATTTTTCTTCACAAAGTCTTCTTTACTTTTTATACAGATTAAGGCCTAAACTCGTATTGTGACCTTAAAGGACTTCCATGAATTAGCTTGCATCACCTCTCTAATCAAAGTCACCCCACTCTGTTCTAAACAGTCACGTACTTGTTCCTTGAATACATCAGGCGTATTCCCATTTAAGGGCTTTTGAACTCGCCATTCCACATGCTTGTAAACCCCCATC